AGCTGGAAGAGGGGAGGGTTCGCAAGAGCCTGCAGCTAAGATGCCATTGGTCCCTGGCAGAGAAGGGAAGGGGGTTGGAGGGCAGTGAAGACAGACATTTAGTTATGGTATATTGTATTCATTGAGCAGGGCATGGCGGCACATGCACACCTTTAATCCCAGCACTCAGGAGGCAGAGGCAGGCGGATCTCTGTGAGTGTGAGGCCAGCCTGGTCTACATAGCGAACTGTATTACTGTATGGGGGTGTGTGTAGGGGTGGTGTGTCATAGCTCTCTGATCCCTGGGAGTCTGACACCCGAGGTCTGCAGCTTCCTCGGGGAAGTGAAAGTGACATTTGCCCCCCTCCTGGGATCTTGCTGGGCACCCGGGGACTCTGTCTGCCTATTTATAGACTCACTGGAAGGCAGGGCAGGGGTGAGGGAGGAGGTGCCGTTGCCATTTCTTCTATAGCAGCTGCAGGAAGGAGGCAGCCGGCTGTGGGTGAGCTGGCCTCAAATCCAACAACAAGCCTTGCAGAATCTTTAACAGGTGAAGCTTGTTCTCCCCCACGCCCACCCCAGAAATGCAGTTCACGCTTCATCTCTAGTTCAGAAAGTTCATCAGTCCCACCCTGGCTGCTCACTGTTTCCGGAAAGAAATGTCTTGAAATGGGTAGGCTTCTCTGAGCCTTTCCGAGAAGTACCTCACCGAGGGAAAGATCTACCATTAACATCGTGGGACATCATGCCCTCATTCGAGCCAGCTCATCTGTGGCCTGGTATAAACACGTGACAGGCGACATAGCTGATTAGACAAGGAAAATGGAGATTTAGCCGCCAGCAGCCTCAGGAGAGAGTGACGACTTCTGTCACAGCCTGTTATCATTTTCCCAAGGTCAGCGATGAAGAATCAGTCAGCGGTTACAGCCGGCGCTCCAGCCTCCTGGGTTTTTTTCCCCAGATTGCAGCCTTTGAGCCAGTCCTGTGTCGACACGGGGAGACATTTCCAGAGAGGAAAGACGCTGCCGAAGGAGCTAACAGCTTTACAAGAGCGGGGACTACGGCTGGAAAACCAGAGCCAAAGCCAGGCGGACTTCCAGAGCTTGCCAGGAGAGCCTAAAATCAGGAGTGCTTGGGCCACAAGGGGGAGTGGGCTGGGCCCTTGGCGAACAAAGGCTGCTTTGTGCCAGGTGATTGCAGGAGTTCAACTCCCTGCCGTGGCCGGCCCAGGACGCAGGCCTCACCAGGCTTTGTCTTTGAACATAAGTGTGTATTTCCACGTGGAACCATGTCTAGTAGGCCAGGGATGTGGGAAGCAAAGGGATTTGCCAGGCTACGTGAAGGGAATTTTTTGGATACACCGCGAGAGAACAGTGGACACAGAGAGAGGGACGCTCAGTGGAGGGAGTGACCTGGAGGGAAAAGGGCCGAGGAATCTCTCCCAAGGAGGCTTCACAGGAGCAAAGGTCTCCCCCAGTCAGCACGGAACACTCTGGCCCCTGCTTGCAGATGGGTTAACCAGGAGCAAGGACAGCACCAGTCAAGAGAACTTGTTCAGGACGGCCGTGAACAGAAACCCAAATTCAAACGGTGAAGCTAAGTTCTGAAGGTGCAACAGCAGCTTGCCTGGGAGGAATGCAGAGAGGCGAAAGCAGCTGTTCTCAACCTGTGGGTCGCGACCCCCATGGGGGGAGGGCCGGCAGACCCTTTCACAGGGGTCTCCTAAGACCATCAGAAAACACAGAGATGTACATTATGATTCACAACAGTAGCAAAATTACAGTTATGAAGTAATAACAAAAATAATTTTATGGTTGGGAGTCACCACAACATGAGGAACTGTATTAAAGGGTTACTGCGTTAGGAAGGTCCAGAGCCACTGCCCTAGAGAGATACTCAAGTCACCTCTGCTCTCGGGACTGTGGAAACAGGCACCCTAGGGAACCCGGACTTCTCCCAGGAATCTGCCGGAAGAAGGAGAAAGCTGAAGCCTGGCTCCAGACAGGGAAAACATTTTTCCCAGAAAGAGAAGTCACACCGTGCCAGCAACTGGTCAGATCACCTCATAGGAGGCACTAAATGAGACCATGAGGCCACTGAGGGGCATGGCCGTGCTTTAGCCTGGCCGTCTTCATGTGTGTTTCTGGTCTTACTTAAGCACTGCCCTGGTGTTGGGACTCTGAGAGGACAGGCAGGAGGAGCCGCTGGATTTCTTTGTCCTTCCCAATGTAGCCACAATGTCTGAATCTTGTTCTTCTTTCTCCTTTCAAATTTGCATTTATTTCTTTGGGGAGAGTGTGCGTGTGCTACAGGATATTGTGGAGGTCAGAGGACAACCTACAGGGGTTGGTTCTCTCCTTCTACCACACAGGGCCTGGGGATTGAACTCAGATTGTCACTGAAGGTGGGTGACTTTGCCTGCCACACCTGCTCACTCTTAGAGTGAAAAGCGGAATTTTCTTCTGAGTAGGGACATGTCATTGTCTCATCCCTTCAGAGTTAACTCAGTTGGGTGGGTCCATGACCTGACATTAGGAAGGTGGAAGTCTTTAGGTAGGCAGGCTCACCTTAAGTGCTGCTAAGAGAGAGGTAGAATATTTATCCCTTTATTGAGACAGTGCACCTTTCCCAGAGTTCCCACGTCCTAGAATGATCTGTGCACTGCTGTAAGGTTTGCCTGAGTCTGCCTGTCCCTCTGATGCATAAAGGTGTAACTTCCCCTTTTTCTTTTTCCTGTCTCCTTTCCGATGCTGTCAGAACCTTAGTATTCTTTTCCCGGTACTCTGGGCTTCATTATTCTTTCTGTAAAGCCCCTTCTCCTCCGTGAAGCTGCCTGCCACCATACGGCTGCCCTCAGACAACAAGATTTCCCCTCCCCCATTCTCCTCTGGGCAGCTGCTGAAATTTCCAGCTAGCCTGCCTGGGATTTTGCTTGTTTCATATGTGTGTGTGTGTGTGTGTGTGTGTGTGTGTGTGTGTACGCAAATATATTTGGGGCTGTTGGGGTCAGCGCTTTAACCCTCAATAACCCTGGTAACAAAATCAACTAGTGTGAACTCATGGGAGAAGTAGGATACTGGGAGACTTGTAGGAAAGGAGACCCACCGTCGCGGAGACTGGTGGAGACCCACCGTCGCGGAGACTGGTGGAGACCCACCGTAGCGGAGACTGGTGGAGACCCACCGCAGTGGAGACTGGTGGAGACCCACTGCAGCGGAGACTGGTGGAGACCCACTGCAGCGGAGACTGGTGGAGACCCACCGCAGCGATTGCAGTGGAGACCCACCGCAGTGGAGACTGGAGCCAAAGATGAGTTCCAAAGGAAAACTTGGAAATGGGGAGCCTTGTCTGACTCTTTCATCAGAGGGAGTTCAACCCTGTCAATAATTCTGAAGCCATTTTAACATGAATTGTCTCATATAGTTTTTGTTTGTTGAGACAAGTGAGTTTTGTGGCTGACTGAGGTCACCATGAGCCCTGTGGATTTCAATAGCATAAATGTATATGGACAGGCAGAATAGAGTAAGGGTGGTGGCTGGAGAGATGCCGTAGTGGTTAAGAACACTCTACAATAATCTGGACAGGATTCCGGATCCCAGCACTCACGGGACAGGATGGGGGTCCTGTACAAACCTCTAACCCGACTCTACGGGGAAGAGAGGCAGGAAGATCACTGGGGCTTCTTGGCTTCCAGCCTAGCCAAAAAGAAGCTATCCTGAGGTTAGGGAGAGACTGCCTGCAAAGGAACACACAGAGCAATTGAGGAGAAGAGCCGATGTCCTCTTCTGGCTTCTACGTGCACACACAAACACAGGCACTCTGCCCCCACCCACATATTCATACATACATACAGAAGATGGCCAACTAGCGAGCTAGATCTTCCTTAAAATTAAAAAATAAAAAATTTAAGAGTCCAGAGATGCAGCTCAGTGGTGGAGTGTTTTTCTGTCATTCATGAGGGCCTGGTTCAAACCTCAGCACTGCAAGCAACAAAGAAAAAGAGGTGTGTCCGTTTTAAAGATAGTCCTTATGTTAACCACATAACAAAATTCTCCACTGGCATAAATCTAACCTTGGTCAAATAACTCTTGGCAAAGGCCCAGGAACCAGCCCCGGGGCAGCTGCACAAAGACACACTCAGGCAGAACCTGTCCCAAGAAAATCTGAAGTCTGCAAGAAATAATCTTGTCCCCTGCCAGGGACATGCTGTCTGTACTCCAGGGACTCTTACAGAGCCACGCGGTCCTTCATCCCCTTTCCGTCCTTCTTTGTGTACTGCCCGCAGCAAGTGCTGCCGAGAAAGCGGAGGGCACAAAAGCCTTCCACACTTGGCATGTAAATGAGGATGTTAGGGACTGGGCAGCTGCTCTCTCCCTGACCCCAAGTAAAGGTCACTGAGGGCCAGTCCGGGCTGCTGCCCCAGAAGTCCGGCATTGTGGCAGCTTCTTCCCAATCACTGTGCAGGCAGAGAGCTTTGTTTTGCTCTCTGATCTAGCCACTGACCTCTGTGGTCTAGAATTGAAAACATTCATGCTCTCTGTGTACTGGGGCAGGCAAACCCAGCTTTGATTTTTTTCAAAACAAGGAAGTGAGCTATAATTTGAATCTGAAACGCACCCCTACAGGCTCATGTTCCCACCACCCTGAAGTGGCCACCTCCACCGCGATGCCGCTGCCTCGACAGTCTGAAAGTCTGTGAGCCAAAGATCTCCTTTCCTCCCTTGGTGTCATCACAGTGATGTAGTTAACCCGAAGGGCATACCCAGAAGCCCTAGGAAGCACCCTGAAAAAAGCCAATGGACCAGTCTGGGTTGCTAAATCCACAGGCTTTGGTGCTCTAGGACTGGTTTCCTTACCAGATGGAACTAAATCCGAGGAGTCTTTAGTAATGTATTTCTCATTTCAGTCTGCCCCAGCCAATCATGTCTGTTCCCTTTAATAACCAGCCATTGTCAAGCAGAGTTAAACTCAAACCTACATCTGAATAATATTTGGCTTTTTATTAATTTGTGTTCTGAATTTCTCCTTGTGCAAGCAGATCCATCCACTGTTCCCCTAGGGTCTTCTACTTAGGAGATCTAGATCTCTCAGACAGGTCAGGAGACTCTTCCTTTTCTTCTTTTCGTGTCTTAGTCATAGTAGTTAGGGTGGTTTGAATAGGAATGTCCCCCATAGACTCATGTGTTTGGATGCTTGGCCCATAGAGAGAGTGGCTCTACTAGGAGGTGTGGCCTTGTTGGAGTAGGTGTGGCTTTGTGGGAAGAAGTGTGTCACTGTGGGGAATGGAGTTTGAGGTCTCAGATGCTCAAAACCAGTCCTGGTGGCTCACAGTAGTTCACTTCCTGCTGCCTGCCGATCCGGATGCAGAACTCTCAGCCCCGTCTCCAGCATCATGTCTGCCTGAATGCCTCCATCTTCCCACCACGATGGTCATAGACGAAACCTGTAATCACTGTTAACTGCTGAGGCATCTCTGCAGCAACCACCCCTGTTCTGGTCCTGTTTTGACTTACCAGCATCATAGTCGTGCAGAGCCACGTGACTTACCATGCCACCCATCCAGGAGAATGAGAGCAGAGAGAGGATGTGCCCAGCCCTGCCCTCCCTGCTGTGACTGACAGGCAGGCTTATGCTGGCTGGGGACGCATGCTTGCCAGAGGCACCTGCACAGCCTCTCGCTGCTGTACTGGAGGACCACAGCCCCTGCTGTTCACACCCTTAACCTGAGGATCTCCTTGTTTTATCCCCATGATTAATAAGTTGGATTGTTTCAATGGCATCTTAAACAACTGGCTTATTTTTTTCATATTTTCTTATCATTTTGTGTTTGTCAGTGTCTGAATTCCATGTGTGAGAGTCCATATTCCACTTGGTCCATTCTATCAGCAAAGCTTTCTATTAAGGTATTGCTTGTTTGTCTTTTTTGAGACAGGGGTTTAGTGGGCCTTTCACTATTAGAGATCCACCTGCCTCTGCCTCCTGAGTGTGGGATTAAAGGCATATACCACCACCACCCAGCTTGTTTTGCTTTTGAGTTACTGAGTTTCTTTCTAAAATTTTAAATCTTTCAGTATTTCTATCTTTATTGATTCCCATTTCAAACCCTGAGTTTATTTACTTATTTCATTGAGCCCTGTTTTAATTCATTTAGGGTCTATTTGTATACTCTTTGGTTTCATTAAATATTTGTATGAGCCAGGTGTAGTAGTGCATGCCTTTAATCCCAGCACTTGGGAGGCAGAGGCAGCCAGATCTCTGAGTCTGAGTTCAGCCTGATCTACAGAGAGAAGTCTAGGCAACCAGAGCCTCACAGAGAAACTGTCTTAAAAGAAAAATATATATATATATACATATAAGAATGGTCATATATATGATTCCTTGCCTGGGATTTCATCTGGTTCTCTCCCCCTGGAGTCATTGGTGTAGAACTGGTACTTTTTATTCCAAGGTAGGCTCCTCCCGCTTTGGTTTTTCTGGTCCTTCTGTGAGTGCAGTGAGACTTCTAGTAGGGTTATTTCACTGATTGAATATTTAAAATTAGCTATGTTCTTTAAAAATAACAACACTGTATCGTGTGTATGTGCAGCATGTGTGAGTGCAGGCCGCTGTGTGCCAGTGGAGATCAGAAGACAACTTTCGGGAGTTGGGTCTTGCCTTCCATTGTGAGATCCGGGGGTCAAACTCAGGTCATCAGGCTTGCAGAGCAAGTGTTTTTACCCAGCTGAACTGTCTCGCTGGTTCCATCATTAACTGTATTCTTTGTTTTGTTTTGTTTTCTTAGTTTTTTGAGACAGGGTTTCTCTGGGTACCCTGACTGTTCTGGAGCTTGCTTTGTAGACCAGGTTGGCTTCAAACTCAGAAATCTGCCTGCCTCTGCCTCCTGAGTGCTGGGATTAAAGGCCTGTGCCACCACCACCCAGCTAAGGACTAGGAAAATCTTAACGTGGCATTTCTCCAACTGTGATCTGAGCGGTTGTTAAATTGTGGATTGGTGTGGGAGGTCCTTCTGTCTGTGTGTTGCTTTTCTTGGTTATAGAATAAAGAAACTGCCTTGGCCTGTTGATAGGGCAGAACTTAGGTAGGCGGGGAAGATAGAACTGAATGCTGGGAGGATAAAAGATGGAGTCGGAAAAGCCATGGAGCTGCCAGAGTCAGACATGCTGAATATTTGCCAGTAAGTCACTGCCACGTAGTGATATACAGATTAATAGAAATGGATTAAATTAATATAAGAGCCAAGAAGAAGCTAGAGCTAATGGGCCCGAGCAGTAATTTAATTAATACAGTTTCTGTGTAGTTATTTCGGTTCTGGGTGGCCGGGATGAACAAGCAGCTCCCTCTTTCTACAATGGATGCCTGGCTCCGCACCAGGAGAAACTTGCAGACTCCTTCAGGAAACAGCACTTTGATGCATGTTCTGCTGAACACCTGGTATTTGAAAGCCTCTCTATGCAAGTAAGCTGATATTCTACAGGAAGAAGGATGGATGGACAAACTGATATTACTCACCTGTCTTGATTCTTGGATACTTTTTTGCTTTTCCTCACAGGATGTTGGTTCTGAAACTAACAACTATCCTCAAAGCAGAGACAACAAAACCCCTGCATAGTGGGTTCATTTCACAAGGGTGGGGACATTGAAGAGCAGTAAGGCCGTCCCACTGCTGGGAAGAGCTAGCACTGGACAGCACAGGCAGTCAGGGTCCTCAGGACAGCCGGGATCACATTTGAGACTTACTGCAGTCTCTGAGGCAGGTGACTGTCTCCTGTTGCAGTCAGGATTAGGAAATGTTAGGAGACATTTAAAATCATCCACAGGTAACCAACTGTTAAGTCAGGACTCAAAGCCAGGTCTGGATGATGCTGAGGGCAGCCAGGCCCTGTCCTGTTTCCCTCACTAGGAAGCCCCGTACACAGAGGGGGGTCGGCGCCGGCTGTTTCTTGTAATCAGGGACATGGTGGGTCCCCGCCCCGGGTCACTGCACTAAATGGGCCGCAGGAAACTGAACAGGTTATACTCAGCAAGCAGATCCCTAGGGATATGGTGGGTGGGCATCCTCCACAGCTGTGCGCCTGTCTGCTGAAGAGCACCTGCGCGTGGGCAATGCTGTTGGTTGTGACTGAGCTGAGAAAGGAAAGCTGTGTTCAGAGTCCCACAGGCCCAAGCCCCTTAAAATGGCCTCTGTTCTCGCGTTTCTTTATAAACCACACATCAAGATCATCCGGAGAGATTTTAAGGAGAGGTGTCTAGGTGTCTCCCCAGATTTAGGAACTAGAGTTCGTTAGGATGCAATCTGGGTGTCTGTAAGACAGCTTCCCTGGCAATTGTGTGGGGAGCCAGGTTTGGGAATTTCTGGAAGCATCCCAGAAGTAGGAGGAGCTTTCATTATTAAAAGAGTCAGGTGGTTCCAGGACAGGAACCAAAAACTACGGAGAAACCCTGTCTCGAAAAATCCAAAAAAAAAAAAAAAAAAAAAAAAAAAAAAAAAAAAGTCAGGTAGGGGAGCCTAAGGAAGACCCGCAGGCAGAAAATTCACTGCCTTTCTTCCTCCTCTTCTCCTATCTCTCTGGCATCTCCTTTTATGCCTAATTCCGCAGTCACGAAGTTTTCCTTGCCCTTCGCTGGCAGGACAGTGACTTGGCAGCCCTGCACAGTGGAAATAAAAACAAACAAACAAAACAACGCGCGTCGCAGGACTGTGCTGTAATATGGCCAGGGGGCTGCAGGTGACCGATGTCCTGCAGGGGGCAGCAAGCCCCTACGTCCTTCTAGTGGGCCCTCTGGGTAGATGATTTCCCCCCATCCCACCCCACCGCGTGGGTGCACCCGCTGTGCCAGATCAGAAACCAAAACCACCACGTTCTGAAACTAGAAAACGTCAGACGAAGAGGAGAAGCTTGACAAAACCAATGTCTGTAACCTTCCCCGGGTTAGAGTAAAAGCATGGGCTTCACCCACCTTCTGTGCGACTTTAAAAACAATTCCTGGAAGCTGGAGAGTGGCTCAGCGCTTAACAGCATTTGCTGCTCTCGTAGAGGACTCGGTCCGATTCCCAGAATCTCATGGCAGCGCATAACGGTCCGAAACTCCAATCCTACGGAGTCTGACCAGGCAAACACGTGGTTCACATCCACACAGGTAGGCCGAACACAGATAAAATAAATAACAAACAACAAAGAACACGTGGACGTGTGCACCTACCGCCAGGCTTGTCTCGGGAACAGTTAGTTTGTGCTGCGCATGAGTCAGGCGTTAGTTCGTGTCTGGTGGCATTTTGGCCTGATGACTCAAGCATGGGTTTGTGTTGGTGGAGCAGGGCTGTGTCACTGTTTTGCCTTAATTTCTAGCACAGTGACCCTGCCTCTGTCTGCCTCACTCTCTGCCTCCCCATCTCACACAGACATTCAAAAGTTCTGACGTTTATGTGGGCATAGCTCTAATAGTGCCACACTGAGAGAAGTAACTAAACTAATACAGCTAGAAATAGTATCACTAATGTAAGTCCACCTAGCTACCAGATTGCTTTCTCTTTTCTTTTTAAGCACAATTTACCTTTACTGATATAGTGATTATACATATTTATGGGGTACAGTGTGATGTTATGGTTAACTGTGCACTGATTCTATCAGGATAATTAGCAGAACCGCTACTTTCAAATATTTTTTTTAGATTTATTTATTTATTATGTATACAACATTCTGCCCCCATGTATGCCCGCACACCAGAGAAGGGCGCCAGATCTCAGTACAGATGGTTGTGAGCCACCATGTGGTTGCTGGGAATTGAACTCAGGACCTCTGGAAGAGCAGCCAGTGCTCTTAACCACTGAGCCATCTCTCCAGCCCCCTCAAGTTTTTTTTTAAATTGTAAGTTACATTTATTTATGTATGTTCATGTGAATGTGTGCCACCAGTCACATGTGGCAGGGGACTTCTTTCCACAGTCAGCTTGTTTCTTCTACGTCAACTCAGGCCATCAGATTTGGTGGCAGTGCCTTTACCTGCTAAGCCATCATGCCTGCCCAATCAACTGTTATTATTTCTTTATGTTGAGTACTTTGAAAGTCCTCGCTCCTACTTGTTTTGAGACATATATAATCTTACGTTTTTCCATCTTAGTGAGCCATAGGACATCCAAACGTATTGCTATCTGTTTGTCACATTAAACCCATTGACCAATATCTCCCTTTCCACTATTCCTCCCTGCTCTTCCCAGCCTCAAGTCACGACTATTCTCAACTCTCAAGATAGGTTCAACTCTTCTTATAGTCTACATACAAGTGAAATCACAGTGTTGGTCTTTTTGAGTCTGCCATATTTTACTTAACCTAAAGATCCCCAAGTCCAGCCATGATATTAAAAATGTCAGGTTTAGCTGGGCGGTGGTGGCGCACGCCTTTAATCCCAGCCAGCACTCGGGAGGCAGAGGCAGGCGGATCTCTGTGAGTTCGAGACCAGCCTGGTCTACAAGAGCTAGTTCCAGGACAGGCTCCAAAACCACAGAGAAACCCTGTCTTGAAAAACCAAAAAAAAAAAAAAAAAAAAAAAAAAAAAAGTCAGGATTTTCTTCCTTTGATGGCTGAATGGCGTTTATGGCTGAAGAGCACACCTTGGATTCCTTGGTCAGTGGTCCTCCGATATCCATCTGGGTTGACTCTGCATCCTGTACACGGTGAGTTAGGGCTGCCGTAAATACAGAAGGGCAGGTGTTTCTGACATGCTGATTTCATCTACTTTAAATAGATACCCAGTCATAGTATTGCCAGGTCTCTCGGTCCTTCTAGTCTTCTGTAATGTCACTACTAGCCTGCATTCTCACTAGTGAAGATATTCATTTCCAGTGTGTGTGTGTGTGTGTGTGTGTGTGTGTGTGTGTGTATGAACGCGTTACTGAACTACATTCCGAGCCCCTTGTTTTTCTCAGGAATTATTTTGACATTTTTTTCTTATTTATTTTGTTTTAATTACATATTCGTGTAGGTGCGGATGCATGTGCCATGAGTGTAGGTGCCCATGGAGACCAGAGGCATTGGATACCCGGAGCTGACATGGATACTTAAAACCAATGTCTGGTCCTCTGCATGAGCTATACATACTTGCAACCGCTGAGCCACCTTTCCAGCCCCAGTTTGTTTGTTTAGGGGATTTTGTTGTTGTTCTCTTTTTCTAGGTTTTTGGAGACGGGGTCTAGTCATATAACTGTGGCTAGCCTGGAGCTCAGTCTGGCTTCAGACTCACAGAGACCCGCCTATCTCTGCCTCCATAGTACTGGAATAAAAGGCTCACCACCATGCCCCGAGGGAAAGTTCTTCAGAAGAGTGAGAAACAAAGGGAACTCAGGGGAAAGGGGAAGTGAGAACTGTGACTCTAAAGCAAGAAAAGGATGTGGGTGAGGTGGGAAGATGGGGGAGGGTCTAGCCTAAAGTGGCACGGAGGAAGATGGTGGGCCTGGCGTTTTTCACAGAATGGAACTTCCAAGAGTGCATCGCGGCCAAAGAAATGACTTGCCCACTGATTTAGGGAATACGTGGGCCAAAGGGCATCTGTGAAAGAAAACCATAACTTAGTGTGGCCTTCTTTTGTCCCTGTTTGTTTTGTGACAGGATCTCCCTGTGTAGACCAGCCTTTCCTCAAAAGGTCCATCCCCCTGCCTCAGACTCCCAAGAGCTATGATTATACGCATATGCCATAATGCCAGCTTCATCTCTCACTTTTGTGGGCTTTCCAATTCTACATGTATTCCAGAGAACGCAGAATGTTTGAGGAAAAACTGCGGTTTCCCCATTTCATCCCTGTCTGTTACTCGGCAGAACACTTGTCTCTTGGAGGTTCCCCTTTGTCTCGGAAAGCATTTTGTCCTGCCGGAGAATGAAAGAATCCATTGATTTCCGCGGTATAAATGTGAGCTGATGGGGTCTGGATCAGTGATTCGGTCACGGCTGTAAAGAAGAATAAGTAAGTCTGGGAGGAGTGAAATCCTGGAGAGAGCACGCTGGTTAATTGGGTTTCTGATTAACTATGGGTTAATGAGGAGACACTTTCTGTCTGAAATCTCTCTAAACTGCCCCAGTCCATTTCCTTGCTTTAATAAGTATCCTAATGAACATAATTAAATCTCCTCTCACCGATTCAGCATCCTGCAGTGTCTCGGGATCATTGCTCTGAACACAACATGGAATTCTGTCCTGCACTGTAGCTGCGGATGGTACCTGCGTTATGGATGGCTCCTACACATTTCCTTACTTAAAAAAAAATACTCACATTCCGTAATTTCATTGTATGTAAATTTACCTTAGTTAAGCAAGTGCCTGTCGTATATCATAGGATATATCCGAATCTTTGGTCCAGACGGGGATCTGGACATGTGAAATGTAACAACGTTGTATAACAGTAGAGGAAGACTAAACTAGACAGGAGGAAGGAGGATGCAGACAGAGGACCACAGTATCTGCTGGCTGTGCATCCATTAGGTCTGTCTCCATGCTGGGCCACAGCTGGACATGGCTGGGACACTCTTGGGCCACAGCTGGACATGGCTGTGATACTTCTACCATGCCTCACCCTCCCCACCAAAAAGTGGACTTGATTCTTGAAATTGCTTATTTTAGATTTTTGGTGAAATGAAAGTAAATTCCACTAAAATGTCAGAGCCAAGAAGCGGGGAGTGGGGAGAGTCAGGTCTGTTCTGTTCCCTGATATGTTCTCCATACACAGTATGGGCCTCCTCACCTTGTAAATGGTTTCTAACACATGTTGGTTGAATGAAAGAATGAAATGGAGATTGATATTTATTACTCATAACTTGATTTTGTGGCATGTAACATTTAATCCAATAGACGAACACTGTGACTAAAGGTTATAAAGCAGAGACAAGAATCTATTGGATATGCATTAAGACTGGCAGTATATTGCTAGGCAGTGGTGGCGCACACCTTTAATCCCAGCACTCAGGAGACAGAGGCAGGTAGATCTCTGTGAGTTCGAGACCAGCCTGGTCTACAGAGCAAGTTCCAGGCACAGGCTACAAAGCTACAGAGAAACCTTGTCTTGAAAAACAAACAAACAAACAAACAAAAAAGGTCAAAATTCCATTTAGGAAGCTATTTCATATGAATTAACACATGTTCCTATGAATAACTCGAACAGAGCTATCAAAACACGGAAATGCAGAAGATGCCGATGCTGTACCTGGTGCTTGTTATCAGCCAAGCCTTTGACTCTCAGGATTGTCGCGTGTGCTTAGAGCTCCCCTCATAGGAGGAAACACCTAGGACACAAACCAGGAAGGTGGGACCTATTTTTTGTTGTGGGATATTTTGATATCATGCTGACACTCCCAAGACTGCCAATAAAGTTAAAACGTTGAATCAGAGGGCAGAGTTAACATTCAGCTGGCTAGAATTAACCATAGAGTTTTTGACCGACCCAGATTAGGATAGAGAGACATAGGAAGGAATAGGGACCGGTTCAGAAAGATTTGCAGGCCTTTTCTGGGAGTGTAGAGAGGCAGAGTCAGCTGATTGTTCCTCCCTGGCTCTTTGGATCTATCAGGTTCCTACTCCAATATCTGACCCCCAAGTTTTATTTAATAATAGAACAATATAAGTAACCCCTTCAGTTTTTGTTTGTTGTTGCTGTTGTTTTGAGACAGGGTTTCTCTAAGTAGCCCTAGCTGCCCTGGAACTCCCTTAGTAGACAAGGCTGGCCTTGAACTCACAGAGATCTGCCTTCTGAGTGCTGGGATTAAAGGCACGCGCCACCACAGGTTTAAATCTCTTAATCCTTACTATCGCATCTGTCCACTACAAATGGATCTTTGTAGAATTCACAGTTACACAAAACAATGCTCCCCATTGTCCGCTATGTTCAGCGAGACCGGTTTTATCCCAGGCTTTTTCAGACCCAGGCCAGCTGGCCTTGGTGAGTTCCCGATAGAACATCCCCATTGTCTCAGTGTGTGGGTGCACCCCTCGCGGTCCTGAGTTCCTTGCTCGTGCTTTCTCTCCTTCTGCTCCTGATTTGGACCTTGAGATTTCAGTCCAATGCTCCAATGTGGGTCTTTGTCTCTGTCTCCTTTCATAGCGGACAATGAGGACTACTGAGAACTCAAGAACAATGGCAATGGGTTTCTGATCCTACTGCACGTACTGGCTTTGTGGGAGCCTAGGCAGTTTGGATGCTCACCTTACTAGACCTGGATGGAGGTGAGTGGTCCTTGGACTTCCCACAGGGCGGGGAACCCTGATTGCTCTTTGGGCTGACGAGGGAGGGGGACTTGATTGGGGGAGGGGGAGGGAAATGGGAGGCAGTGGTGGGGATGAGACAGTAATCTTTAATAAATAAATAAAAAAAAAATTCTCCCAGTTGCCAAAGTCCAC